TAAGCGACACGCCTGTCTATAGCAGTTGCTTTAAATAGCAAAGATCTGAGAGGCACTGCCACCGCGCCCATCACCCTAAGACGTAAGTTGATAAATCCAATGTGCCCGTAATTTCATATAACGCAAAAAATATCTAAACAAAATATCGATGCAATGAATGAAGACATTTATTCTAATACGGCGTATAATTGACAATTATCAAATATCATATTTGCTGAATATTATAACCTTAGAATAATAACGCATAGAATGATAGTTTCATATCAAACGAACTGTCACAAGTGAGGCAAAAATCAAATTCATGAAGGCTTGTTTTAGCAGTAGGTTAATTTTCGGTTTTAGTGAATATTTATATAAAAATACAAGTTGAAACGCGTTACTTCCTAGTGGAATGTGATGTTAGTATCTATTTTATGTTTGTCTGACGTATTTTTGCACTAATTTACCGCACATTTCGTCATTTTTAGCTAAAATTCTTGATCTGTTCGCGGTGCAAGTCGACCTTGAGCACTGAAGGCCCGCCCGCTCGTGTAGGCCCTTTTGGCGCGCTTCAATTTGCCTCACTTAGCGTGTGCGGACTAGGTTTCTATGCGTTATTATTCTAAGATTATAACGATATTTGTATTAAAATCATTTGGCGTATGCACGCAAAACTGTCTTTCACGAAAATACCTATTCCTGAAATCCTCCTAACTGTCGCCTCAAGCAGATTATTACCTATACTTAACAAAATAACTATAGCAACGCATTATAAGAAATAAATCGACTCTGTCAAGCCAACATTCTCGCATTGATTTTGTTCTAATACTATGCAATAACATAAATAACTGTTACTTTTTTATTGTTTCTAATATTTCGATTGAAAAACTTGAATCCAAGGTCAAGAAATTTTTTTTTTATTAAATATGGTTACTAAACAATTTTTTTTTTTTTGCTAAAACAAACTTTCACCACTTTGCATGGTTAACGTTTCATTCACTGACAGGATTTTTTACGTTTGCTTTAAACGGGAAAATTTATAAACGGGATTAAGAGAGAAAAAAAGGATTAGGCGAGGAAATATTATATAAACATAAGACAAATGTTACACGTATATGAACAACTAAGTCGAACGCGTTGGATAGCTAATAGGTAACATACATTATAAGGTAGTAATTTGTTTAGATTATAATATATATTCTGCTTATGTTTGTATTTATGTATATAAAGTTCATGTAGGTGTGTATGTCTGTCATATGTATATATTATCATCCTTTATATGTATATATATTATTTTTATATATATAAATTTCTTTTTTACTCACATTTGAATTTAAATTTTATTGTACAATAATTAGTCCCGCAGACTTCATTTTTCACCTAGGCTAGGGTTGGCTGGAAGAGATCTCTTCTAGAGATAAGCTAACCTTTGTATATGTCCTTTATAACTTCTGTTTCATGTATCTTTTCTTTGTGCAATAAAGAGTTATTATTAAATTTTAAAATAAATCTAGATATATAAGTGTACATATTTGAGAGTAATAAAGATTTTAAATTATAAATGAACTTATGAATAAGATAGAATACATTATTATTGATTATTAATTATTCATATTCGCTAACTTACTAATTACGCGACAACACTACGGTAGAGCGATGTTCACAACCTGTCGTCTCCTCAAAACTTTCAATGCTTTGTCCTGATTTACCTCCTACTTAATTAAAAATCACTTTGCAAAGGATTTCGCACTCCCTACGTTTCTGTAAGGAATTCGCATTAAGAATTGTTCTTGACTACATTATTGAGCACTAAAAGTTACTAATTAAAATTCCGAGTAAGTAAATGCACCTACTTACATGCTTATGAGCGCTTGGAGACGGAAATCGACGGAGGAGATTATGTTTAGTAAATTAATTAAAACTAACAATGTGTATTAGTTTGATAGTTATTTGTTATGCTGCAAATTATTAAGACAGCAAAGTTTGTTCGCTCGTGGTTCAAAAATATCTTGAGCGTAGCGAGTGTTTCAAATTCAATACAACTTTGCTGCCAAGCGAAACTCACAACTTTTCACCTCACTATAGAGAGGAAAATGGTAGATGAAACAAAAACAGTTGAAATAAACAACATGAGTCTTTTCAAACAAAAGAAAAAGTTTATCTTCGGATGCGTTCGAAATTTGCACCTCATAAATTTTTATAGTTCATCGACGAATTAAAATAATTTTATAAACATAGTTATTTATCGTTGTCAATTTAACGTCAACAATAACCAGAATAAAATGTACCTTTTACATACAAAAGGTACATTTTATTCTGGTTATTGTTGACGTTAAATTGACAACGATAAATAACTAAACGGATTTATATTACCTATAAAGTCATGTACGACAAATTGTGTAGTTGAACGTGTCATTGTTTTTTTTTATCGAACGAAAAACTTAGGTGTTGACTGTGGTAGTCAACAACCTCTTTTGCACGCAGATTTATAATGAGAAAGAAAGCCTTTCCAAGCTAGTGAGGTAAAAACATCTTTACTAGGACAGTTTACAATACAGAATTTTTATCTGCAGATATTTTAAGGAGCACGTGGGCAGTAAGTTGGGTTAAATGTTTTGGGGCTCTTAAATCCTTATATAGAATTCGGGCGTTATATCCACGTTGCTTTAGTGTTTAGTGCATTAGTTTTATCCCATCAGAGCTATTGTGATCGAGTGATACGGACTATGCTTGTTTGAAAAAACAAAGTAGTATAGAGGGTTCAGAATGCATGCAGGTAGTTATTCTGTGCCTAGAATATTGTATCAAATTATATCTAATTTCAACATTCCGCGTCTAAAATTTGGAACGACCAACTTCCTCTTGTATACGAACTTTCAAACAAAAATGTTTCCTGTGGCTGTTTGAAAAGCAATCTCGGAAAGCAGGCTTTATGGAGTAGCTTGTGTTATCTGTTCTATGTATTTGTGTATGTTGTTGTACAATTTAAATTGACTGTTTTTTTTTTTTTTTTTTTAATAATAACACACACTCAACATTGCCCTGCACTAGGGAAACCCTGTGTCGCGGGTACCATGGACACACATATAGACAACCACAAATTACACCCAAACTCACGAGAGAAACAAATGTAGGTCATACAAATATTTCTCCCGGCCCGGGAATCGAACCTGTGACCTCTGCGTGGCAGTCCGGCATGGTAACCGTTCGGCCACAGAGGCAGTTTCATTTCATTTCATTGCTTATTATTATCATTGTTACTCGATTTCATTATTTTCATGTCTAATTCTTGTTAACGTCAAATTTATTTAGTCCTTGATTGTATAATATCTATAAATTGGTATATGAATTTAAATTTTTGGACCAAAATTTTTATTGTGGTGTTCTATTTTATGATGGTCATGGTGGTATATTAGCGAGAGCTACGTAATTAACATAGTCCTCAGATGCTGAGTCATAGACCTTTTTGACATGCTTTTTGTTGCTTATTTGTTTTAAGTATGTACATTTTTTTTCTTAATTTTTTTTTCTCTTTGTTTTCTATTATTCTTTACTTATTTGTATTTATGAAGGATTTATGTATTTTTTTATAACTGTTTCTAATTTATTTTGTCATGTCCATTAGAGCCAATTTATGTTATTTTTATTTATTTGTTCAATTCAAAATATGTAACAAATGTTTTCACAAACTAAACTGAATTTTTTTTAAATGTCGTCTGAAGTTTATATATATTTTTTAAAATTTATTATTCAATTTACAATTAAACACATATGTACATCTAGATTTTCCTTTCAAAAACCCTTTAATGGGTTTCTGCGAAAGGAATTGAGTCGCAATAACTAAATACTAAGACAAAAATATTATAATTTAAACTAAAAAAATAATATAATATAAGTAAATAAAGTTATGAATTCTGCCCTTTAAATTAACTAGTGCTTCAGGATGTTTACCCGTGAAGTAAGTTTCACGCCTTCCATATCACTTTCAAAAGCTCCTTCCAAATAAACCTTCTCATAAAGATACACGGTGTAAAAGAAGTCAAACCAGTTTGGTCCATGCGTCGTCCTCTAATTGACAAATTGGAATCTTATTAAAATAAAGTTCAAGTTCCTAACTGAACAGGCGCAGGCGCAGGCAGACGCGTATGATGTCAGCGCAGCCTCCGAGTGGGTGCCGAAGAAACCCGAACGCGCCCGACTCGGGTGGCGGCGAGAACAAAAAGTCCGGCAGCATTCGGAGCGCGTGCCTCTATGTGTGTGGTCCACTACGGCGGTCCTGCTCTGCTCTTGATTTATTGAAATCTGATTTTCTCACCCTTTACCAATTTGTTTTGCTTATTTAAATTGTTTTGACATTTTTGACCGTAATTGGGTTATGTTTTGGCTGTTGTCGGATGTTTTTCAACAATTTAGCGATGTTTTTTACAAATTGGAAAAAGTCTTTACACTTACTTAATGATTTGGAAAACAATTTCTCCCACCGTTAAACATTAGCGTACATCCTTTTACATCAAGATTTGAGTGTCGAAAAGAATGTGGGCCACATAGTAATTTTTATTATGTTCAAAATTTTTTTACATCATTTTCATTGATGTACGGCTAACTGTACAATAGTTATATCAATTATACTAACACTTTGTTCTATAAAAAATTAAAACAGATACACAGTAATTTTATTAGGTTCAAAATTTCTTTATCAGACTCAGGGTCGTATTCCAGAACTCTACTCAATGCTCGAGTCCGGGGGTCTACTCTAGATCTCCGTCCGACATCCGTCCGAAACAATTATTACCAAATAAGCAATACTTGACCAAATGAAAAGACGCGTGATGCGAATGAAGCTTCATTCTTGATACTTGTCTTTTAATTTTGTCGAATATTACTTATTTGACAGTATTTGTTTCGGACGGAGATCGAGAGTAGACCTCCAGGACTTGAGCAGACTTGAGTAAGATTTCTAGTGTTTTAAATCATACTCAAGACCTGACTTAAGCATTGAGTAGAGTTCTGGAATACGACTGTCAGAGTTTAATATTTAATTTAATTTATGCCTCAGCAGTTGCGTTTTTTTCGTTTTCTAATTCGCCTTTTACACAATTAATATCAACAGAAGAAGTACAAGTGCTTAGTTCAGGGAAACGAGGCATGAGCTCATAGTTATCGAGATCGTAGCTGTCATTGTCATTACCAGTCTTCCACTTGTTGACAATCATCTGTAGAGGTTCCAAGCACTGAAGACTCTGTTTTACACGAAGCAGTTCTATATTACACTGATTCTCAACTTCGAGAAGTTTCAGTTTATATGCTTTTGCCAACATTTGCTTCCTAATCGCGTTTTTCTTTTCCAACTGGGCCAAGTTTAACGTATTTTGGTATTTCTGCAACTGTTTCTCGTATTCCATAAGATTCTCGTCGCAATTTAACTTGCTGTCAACGCAAGCGCTATATTTGCTCGCATCAAACGATACATCGGAGAGCAAATTATCAGTAGAAACGCAGAAATTTGATGTACATAAACTTCCGGTTGTAGTATAATGCGCGACGTATTGTTGTTTGTTTTCTTTTTCAAGTTTCGCCTTTTCTGCATTCAATTCGAATTTCAAAGACGCTATAACGTTCTTGCACTGCGCAATCCTGTCCTTTAACTTCGATTCATGATCTTCGATGGTTTGGACGGTAATGTTATCGTCAGACATGGACGCACTGTCATCTCTCTTCAAACATTCGTCTCTATGGATTTCTTTTTCATTGTCAGTTTTATTCTCCTCCTCTATTTCGTTGCTTATATTATCACCACATGCAAGTTTTATAGAATCCATTTGCTCCAATTGCAAGAAAAATACTTACAAAATGTAATTTATTGGTAAAATGAAATTGTCAATGACGAAGTGTGTGGAAAATGTCAGTCATAAAACAAATGCGGAATAAAACTACAGGTGTTTTCGAAAAATCTGTCTCGGTCGCCATAGTTTCATGAGGTTTTATTTGTACTACGCAGGCCAAGAAAGTGTCATACACGCCCATACTAGGGTTCCGTAGCTGTTAAGTTTTTCGGCTCACCACGTTCTAATTACAACATTGAGGTACTTCTATCATGGCAAAATTAAGTGAAATGTATAAAAATGCTATTAAATTTTCACACAGTGTATTGTTTTAAAATAACGATAAAATATAGTATGTTATTAGCTAAGAGAGCGGACTCTCCGCTTTAGCGCTTAGCTAATAATATTCTTTATTACAGTTTTGTTAAGATTAAGCAGCGCTTGGATGTCGAAACTGGAGTATTTAACGGGACTTGTAATTTATTATTTATTGTTGCAATTTCTACCAACGAATAATGCTCGGTGAAACACGCGCCATCTAATGGTACAAGTTCGTAGAATCAACTTAGTTTACATCAATACTTAAACTAAAACTAAACGAGAATTATTAATAACAATGAAGTCAATATTCATACTTGTATTAAATATTTTAGTACTTGCTCAATACATGCTGTAAAAAATCAACTTTTAGTTTAGGTCTGAGACGTCGCAGCTTCTAGGAGTTTTAAGAACTTGACTAACTAACTTAGATGTTTTGTCACCGATATTTTCCTACACTATTAAAGAAAAAGATGACCTACAGGCAGTTTTAACTAAAGGCAGTGTTAAATTTGATAACATCGTCACTTTCCATCAGGTGAGATGGATGTCAAAAGCGCTCTTGTTTTTATAAAAAGAATCGTGGAGGCATCCCTATTCAATGACATTGTGAATTCCGTTCCGTTCATGTATCTGTAAGGGGGCGTTCCCACTATGTCGTCACGTTTTATTATCGTTGGACGACTGTCGTGTCTAGCCTGTTCCCATATCACGACTATCTGTCGTGGACGAATTTTCTAGCTAGATCTAGCTTTCAAACTAGACGTGACGACAATTTATCGTTTCACGACAGCTTCCTTGTCCTTTGCACGACAGAATCGTTTGATGCACTGCAATTGCTTGTAAGTTCTTTTGGAAGCCGGTAGTGTGTGTTCGCTCGAAATGGATGAAGATGAAATTTTAATAATGTATTACTTATCGAGTTCTTAGGTTTTCGCGATTGTTACACATAGGAAATGAAACTATTTTTCCGGATTTAAATCGCGTATATTTGTTTTTTCAAACAAACCGACGTTTCGGGCCCTTTACAGGTCCCATGGTCACGGTTGACTGAGGTGGTACAGTGTTTGAAAAAACAAATATACGCGATTTAAATCCGGAAAAATTGTTTCATTTCTTAAATGTATTACTTTTTAAAAATGCGGAAGAGGAAGCGAACAAAGAAAAGAAAGTTTTGGGTACATCCAATGCTACTACAATGATCCATTAGGGTTATGACAAACGTTTATTGATGGACTGGAAAGTGATGATAGACAATTTTGGGACTATTCAAGAATGACAATTTCCACATTTAATGGTCTATTAACACGACTCACAGAGCACATTACAAAAGAAAACACAATGTGTAATTAAATTGAACACAACTCAATTCACAACAAATATTTAGACGTAACTAGTTTTTGACCTAGATTTCGGGTTTTAACCCGATTTAAACACGGCGTTAACAAAGCGCCGAGTTAAAACCAGCGCGCTTGCTCATCTCTGGCTACGACCCAATGCTACTGCAAAGCGAGCAGAGGGCGCGGGGTACGAGAGGGGAGGGCAGGGAGCAGAATACGTGCAGACAACAATAAATAAAACGTGACGCCAATAGGAGCTGCGATAATCTGTCGTCACGTTTTTATCGTGACTTTTTTTATCGTCAGACGACTGTCGTTCAAGCTGTTCCCACTGTGACGACAGTTTGTCGTTGTAACGATAAAAAATCGTGAATGATAGTTAATCGTGTCGTGCTATATGTGAACAACTTCATTTAAATATACAAGCCACGACACTGGAAACTGCACGACAATCTGTCGTCACGACATAGTGGGAACGCGCCCTAACATTTGAGGTTAATATCGTTTTTATACAATATGGTGTAATGATTCTTATAAAATGCTAGCAAAAATATTTTTGGAATCTTTATATGAAGATACGACGCAAGCACATAAAAAAATTCGTGAGGTCCGCTGGTTCGTTCCGTGGCTTAGTTGGTATAACGTCTGCCACGGTAAGCTAAAAGACGTCGGTTCGAATCCGGCTGGATCGAAGGATTTTTTCTAAGTGTTCGATCTTTGTATTAATAATTATAACAAAGTAGTGAAATAATTTTGCAAAAAATAATTGAATATCAATTCAAAAAAAATTTAAAATCTTTATATGAATCAATGTTGTATTAACAGTAAATTGGACTAATTATTTCTATTATCCTTAATATTTACGGCTTATGAGCATTTTAATTTTTAAACAAAATGTAATTAAATGACCAATCAGTCAATAATGGTCAATAGCATTGGACAGGTATTTTCTTGATACTGTTGTTTTATTTTGTCGAAAAGGAAAATTCTGATTACTTACATATGTAATACCCTCCCAAATGTGATATAAAACAAGCCATACAGGCAGTAATTTTATAAAACTATTTACGAGGTTCCAATTTGATTGCCAAGAACTAAATAAAGTTTTAAAAAACTATGTATCCGAATATTAGCACAGTTTATTCGAATTTTTTTAAATTTATCCGAATATTAGCATAGCTGTAAGGGTAGATGTATAGTTATAAATAAATAAATAAATAAATTATCAAGAAAAATTATTAAGTTTTTCCTTTTTATTTATTGAGCTTTGGCTTTATAGCCATCTTTATGGATGTCAGGCTCAAAATAAATAGACATTAAATTGTGTAGTTTTTATATTCTTGATTTTAAACTAAATTACCATTAGACTTTATCCGGAAAATTCCATTAATTACAAATTAAAAGATTTCGTTCAATGAGAACAATATGATTTAAGTGAAACTGAAAACATGAATATTGACTCCCGCCGCTTAAAAGACTATTTAAAACACCCAAACGAGTGAACTAAGTTCACATAAATTTGAAAGTGAAAACAACAATGGAAACCATTTATTGAGGATCCCGATAATTAAACGTAGACATGACTCAAATATTATATCCAAGCCAAAATACTTAAAAAAAATTGTACCGCACTATCTGTCAATGTCAACTAACGTAATTCACCGCTGAAAACGAGGCAGTATGGTCTTTGACCCTAGCCTATCCTTTTTGAACGAATAGAACAAAAAAAAGTCAATTAACTTTGGTTGGCGCGATATTCTACGTCAAATTCATGAAAATTTCATTGCACTACAAATTTAATACACAAAATAAGAAAGAAAAAGTATAGGTGATTCCAGTCTAGAACACCGCACGAACATACGTCTAAACTATGGGTCTTTTAGAATTGTGCCAAAAGTATTTCAATACAACAAATCTGTACGAAGTGTTGGAAATATCGGAATCCGCAACAGACAAAGAAGGTAAATGTAGTTCGTTTGGTCCAAACAAATGTTTATATTATATCTTTTATTTCAATTGTAAACGCTCCATTTTCCAGTGAAAAAGGCCTACCACAAGTTATCTTTGAAAGTACACCCGGATCGAGTCAAAGAAGATGAGAAATTGCAAGCTACAGAAAAATTCAAAGTGCTCGGTAGCATACACGCAATTCTCAGTGATAAAGACAAGAGAGCTATTTACGACGAAACGAAGAGTGTAGATGATGAGGACTTCAACGTAATTCGAGATCGCGACTGGACAATTTACTGGAGAACGTTGTTCAAGAAAATTACGGAAGAGGACATCAAGGCTTACGAAAAGGAGTACACCGGTGAGTTGATTTGCCTTTATACTCTATAAAAGAACATGGAGAAGTAGGAAATGGCTGCGCACATCCTACTACAATCCTGTGACAGGGCAAAGTACCTCAGAGTCTTCAGCAAACCCAGTAGGGCTGAGATTCTTGGAAGCGCTTGGGTGTTACGAGTAGGACCCTGCTCCCACCACATGCTAAATAGGCACCTGGATGTCGAGTTGCAGAGTTGTCCACAACAGGGCCATTGGGCCCTTTACCCCATATTGTAGGTACCCTCCAAAAGAACCTAGTGTGTGATTATGACCACTTTAAAAAATTGTAAATAGATAGATAAACACTTTACTGCTCACACACAAGAACAGTACATAAACAACTTAAAACTAATGTGGGCAAAGGCGGTCTTATCGCTAAGAGCCCAGACAACCTTTGAGTTAGAGGAAAGCTAATTGTAGCAGGCGACGTAGTGTGCCAATCTTACAAATAAAAAATGAAAATAAAAATAAATTGTATAAATAAAAAAATAAATACAAAATAAATAAATAAAAATAAAAACAGTAATTTATCAAATATTTAATGAATAACAATATATTATACCTACATAAATATAATATGTGTATATAAATATACCTTAATAAACTTATACTTACTAATAAATATGCACACATTGCAGACTAATACCGTGTATATGTATATGAAATAGGTAGTGACTTAGAATGTCGGCTTTCAAATGGGAGATCATTCCACAATTTTGCAGCCTTAATCGTAAAGGAATCTTTGAAATACTCAGAGCGAGTGAAAGGAGAAACAATCCTTAAGGTATGGCAGAGTACGAGAACCTTATAGAACCTTATAGAGAAAGCTGAGAATGTGCTCCTCACGGCGTTCCTCACTTGATAGGGAGCTACTGAAGCCTTCTCCTAAATTCGGACACATGATAGAACTTGCGCAACCCATATATGAACCTGATGACCAGAAGCAGCAAACACCCTCCTACCCACCTCAGTGATATGTGGCGACCAAGACAGAGTGGAATCAAAAAGAACGCTAAGATTTTTAACAACCTTACTGTAAGGCAAAAGGAAAAGTTGAAGAGGAGCGGGGGAATAGTGGCATTATTTAATTTGGCCATTTGCTTCGAGCTTCCAATGACGATGGCCTGAGATTTGTTAGGATTGACCGTAAAGTTTGAATCCAGTCGTGTATAGTCGCGAGATCGTCATTAAGTTCGGGGATTGAAAATGCCCACGTCGTACACAGGAAACAGAATAAATCTGAAGGTCATCGGTATACAAGTGATACTGACAAGAGAGAAAGGGAGTTTATAAAGATGGAAAAAAGAAGAGGAGATAGAACCCCGCCCTGAGGCACACCTGCAGTAATGTCACAGAAGCTAGAATGCTATTGTCGACACGAACACATTGCCGACGCCCAACGAGATAGTGGCGAAACCACTCGACTACCAAATCTGACACAAGGACAGATTTCAGCATTGCTAACAGAATATCAAAGTCAACAGTATTGAACGCATTGCTGAAATCTAAGATAACTAATACTGTCAGATGTTGATACGACATACCCTCGCGAATGTCATTAGATACCTTGGTTAAGGCAGTAACAGTGCTATGCCCCAAGCGGAAGCCAGATTGGAAAGGACTAAGGATATTGTAGGAGTTCACGAATATTGTAATCTGGCAATGGACAAGATGCTCAAGAATTTTGGAAAGGAACGGAAGAATAGAAATAGGACGAAAGTGAGAAGGTAAAGATGGATTCGAGGTTTTAGGTATAGGTACTACATCAGCTTAACGCCAGCAACTCGGCAAGGCGACAGTGTCGAGAGAAAAGTTGAAAATATGGCAAATTTAAGGAACAAGAATAGTAGTATATAGTAGATTGCTTAAAACTAGTAGAAAGGAAGGCTAAAGAAATATAATAGGAAGGCTTAAATATATAATAGGAAGGTAGGTTATCCTATATATTAACAACAGACACATGTCAATTGGGCCTAAGACTCGACTACATAGGACTATGAAGCACATTTCCCTCGCTGATATGCTGTTGCGGGTAATGGTTAAAAACGCACAAAAATATTAAACACATGCACATGCCTTATAAAAACAATATTTAATTGAAATAATGTTATAAACCTAAAACATTCCCAAATACACATGCCACATGGGTTGTGTTCAATAAAATATATTTGTTAAAAAATAACATTTACAACCTAAATATAGGGCAGCTGCTCTAGAATCATTTTATAACGGAAACCTATTCTCGAAGTAATTACTCACCAAATTGCAGTGACAGCCACTTCAAAATTATTCAATTTACCAAACATTTAGAAACCTTAAAACCTACTTAGGCACATCTTTCTTGACCAGTCAGAAACCTAGTAAGCCACTAACCAATTCAAAATAGCAAATATTTGAGACGTGTTGTTAGGTTTTAAAGTGGTTAAAGATCCTTACTGAGTATTGGAATTGGCAAATGGTGCGCGGGAGGTGTGACTTGGTGACGGCCCTCAAGCCGTTTTACGAAACAATTAATGTATATAGGGTGGAACAAATAAATGCGGCATGAAGGAGAACTGCCTTAAATGCACTCTTTAATTTTTCTTAATATGAATTCACAGATTATTATTTTTTCTGGTGCCAAGTAAAAAAGTTTATGTACAAAAAGTCTTATGAGACTGTAGGAGAGTTAAGGCTCAAGGTACAAAATGTTATTATTAGCATCTACCCTCCACGAAGTTAATATCAAGATTAATCAGTGTAAATAAGAAAATAGGTCCTACTTTAAAGCACATAGAAATTAATTTGTTAATATGTAAGAAAATTATAATTCTGCATAATTTAGTAGTTTTATTAATTTAATTAGTCAAATTCGTCGTTCTTAGGATTTCGCGATTGTTACACATAGGAAATGAAACTAATTTCCACTTAAAAATATATATATTTGTTTTTTCAAACAAACCAACGTTTCGGGCCCGTTACAGGTCCCATGGTCACGGTTGACTGAGGTGGTACAGTCGTCAACCAGTTATGTTTAATATTAATGCAAACCACCCTATTTTTTCAGAATATTTACAAAAGTTATTAATTAAATACCTTATTTTTTAGTTTGTTTGAAAAAACAAATATACACAATTTAAATCCAGAAAAATAGTTTCATTTCCTATAGTCAAACAAAATCAAATTTTATTCCAAATTTTCTTGTGCAGTAAGTAAAACAAATACCTAACAAATGCTCATACTGTGTTTTGATTCTGCCTGCTACAGTAACTTTACTTATGATGTACATATAAATATTCTAAGTTAGTAAGGGTCAAATATACAATATGTAAGTTGTAATCATTTTAGTGACATCAATATTTATTGATTGGTACCCTACCCAATAATACTATTACTTGTTTACATTAAAAGGAAAATTGTTTAAGGGCAACCTCAATTTGTGTTTTTTAAAACACTTGGTTTTGGTCTGGGGCAGCCGAGGGCTTAAGGACATTGATTCTTCCTGGCAACCCTTACAGGAGAAAGAGCAGTAGGATGACCATTGCCACGTCCCCGTCGTGCCACGAGTGCGGCGCTGCGGATGACACCGCGCAGCACACCCTAGAGGTGTGTAGCCGGTGGGATGAGCAGCGCCGCACTCTGACGGGGACTGTAGGGCAGGACCTCTCGCTGCCGAGCGTGGTTGCCGCCATGCTCGATAGCGAGGAGTCCTGGGAGGCGGTTGCCTCCTTTTGCGCGAGGACGCGGCGGACGCGCACCCGCTTCGGCGCAGACGTACGGGGAGAAGGCGAAGGCAGTTCGCTGCTCGCCTGATCCCCTAGTGATACCAGCGGGTTCTGGACAGGGACTCCGGAGCCTGCATTGCACGGCCTCACTCGTCTGGGGGGCGGGTCGGAGGACAACCGACTCGCCCCTCCGTTGGCGCGGGAGCCCTGGCGTAAGCTAGGGCGGCCGGGCGGCGTCGTGGTGAATTGTCACTGATCCCACGGCGCCGACTGAACCGGCGAGAGGGAAACCCGGGGGGGTTTTAGTGGGGTAGGCCCTCCAGTCTGGAGGGAGAGTCCCCACATAACCCCTGAGTCTCCCTGGGCTCAGGGGTATCCATAAAGATTTCCCCCCGTCAAAAAAAAAAAAAGGTGACCATTGCCAGCATTTGGTGCATTTGGCTTAGTACAGACGAATTGAAAAGGTTCTCTCCCTCTCGGTTCCTTTTTTGAAGTCACGTACCATAAAAGAAGCTACATAAATCCTGCAGATCTTTAATTGGGGTTGCCTTTGAGTTATAATTTGTAGTAATCACAGTTGGTAAATTGCTGGTGGCAATGGTGAAAGGTTGCACTGACCCTGAATAAGTCACTTTATTAAATGCCCAAATAGGCAACCTACACGTCACATCCTCAGTAAAAAAGTGACCAAATCAAAAAAGTAAGTTTTGAATTTCGTAATTTTATTACTGAAGTTGTAATATAAACAATGATTTTCTGTACCTCAGGATCTACAGAAGAACGTGAAGATCTTAAGACAGCCTACATAACAGGCAAGGGTAATATGGACTATATTTGTGATCATGTGCAGTTTGCCAGGTCAGACCAAGAAGACCGCCTTAGAGAAATTTTAAATGTAAGTATCTGTTATGATAAAATAGTTGTTATACTTTTTTACTATGGTCCCTTTGAATAGTATTGCAATTTGAAACTTGTCTAAAATTTAAAAGAATTATTGAGTATATGTTAATAAATATTTTGTTCCAAAGCTCATAAACTTTTAATATTAATTGTTATCTAGTAGTAACCACTATATCAAGGTAGTTTTTTAAAATTTATTTTATGTTGTTACATTCCAACGCAAACACATAATCTTTATTTCATAGGTAAGGAAATTAGACATGACATCGTCATAATATGACGATTTCAAGTCTAATTTGCTTACTCTCTCTAATCTTTATTTCATAGGTAAGCACAATTTCAAGTCTGACTTGCTTATGAAATAAAGATTAGACTTTGGGTTTAAGTTGGAATGTAAATAACTAGCTTTCGATCAATTGTAAGTTACTTCCATTAGTGTCTTAAGTTGTGTTATTCGACCAACTTCATCCTCCTAACGAGAAACTCAGTAAGAGTGAGTTCAAGTATAATTTATCACTCTTTTTTAACTAATATCCAAGACTACACAGCAAAATTCTATATGTTTTTTCTCTGTAAACTGCTTTTCTTCCATTGGAGTCATTTGAATATGAATCAGTGGTTTTAGGTCCATAAACATGCATATTTTCCTATTTTCTATCATCTTAATGTATTTTATTCAAACATTGTAGTGAATCAGCTGATTTTGTGTGATGAATTATACAAGGGCTATCCCTATATCCAGAAAGTAGTTTACGTTTTGGTGTAAAGTACAAGAAAAATATTTTGTTATATTAATTTGAAAGCGACACTTGTATACAAGTAGATAGCAGTAGTTCGACATAGGCTCCATGCAAATGCAGGCACTTAACATAGCGGCGATCAAGGTCTGAAATGCCAGCATCATAAAATTCTGTCGCTTGAGATTTCAACCAGTTTATAAGTCACGCAAGCCACTTTAACATTTTCGGAAACATGTGGTAGTTGCTGGGTGCAAGATCCGGACTATATGGCGGATGAGAAAACACCTCCCATTTGAACGCATTCAGGACTTCTCGAAGCACATTCCAAACTGTTAGATGGCCACTGAACGGAGGAACACTCTGACACCAAGATAAACGCGCTAGTGTCGCCCATAGCCGTTACAGAGCAAAACGTAACCTACTTTCTGGATAGCCCTCGTACTTTTATTGGGAACTGTGGAATTGCAAAGATAAAGTCCCATTATTCCCAAAGTGGAATGAAGAAGAACTATGTATCAGAATCAGTAGCATTGCATTACTTTAATTAAGCAGCTTGGAGATACCAAAATACTATTAATTGCCAAAGGACATCTCTTCGTCACTTCAATGTAGTGTCTAAGGCACAATTTACTTTGCTGTGGAATGGAATTGAAGAAAATATCTGTAACCAGTGTTGGGCAAAATTTAATTGTTCTGTCAATTAAAGATTGATAATTAATTAGGGCCCCCAACTGGGGCCCTAACCGGGCCCATAACCGGGGCCCCCAACCGGCCCCCCAACTGGGCCCTCAACCGGGGCCCCAGGGGGCCCTCAACCGGGCCCCCAACCGGCCGGAATTGATTTTAATTGCAAATTTAATTGCAATTAAAATCAATTCAATTGAAATCAATTGCAATTGATTTCAATTGAATTGATTTTTTCATCTGATTGAATTATTGATTGAAATTTAATTGATTAACGCCCAACACTGTCTGTAACCATAGCATAATAAGCTTTAAGTCAATTGTGTAACATACAAATTAGATACAAGCCAAAAACAGGTCGTGTGTCTTCCTGAGCATTCTCGCAATCTTGGGAATTCCCTCAACTACCCTATCCACAGAACAATAAATACAGTACAAGTGCTTAGATGGCGTGACACTTGTGCCAACAGTACGCAAAGTTCTAATAAGCTCAGTCCGCCATTTTTGCTTTGTAGACTATGGTCGTGTCAATTATCTCGCGCAAAACCACTTTGCTACTTTGGAGTGCAAAATGAGTTGCACTTGTAATATTATCTATGGTGGTGTTTCATGTCATCGTTAAGTCGAATTTAATTTTTTATTAACCTTATACCGCTGCCGCTGTATAGTCACTTCTTTTTTGGAGGACTAAGTAAACATCTCGAATTCGTCGTCGTTCAGCTGTTGACCGCTAGATGGCAGCACACTCACATTCACAATCAAAAAGTAACACAACCCTGACGTTGGCGAAATCGTCGCGCAAAACGACGGAGCCATAGATACAAAAGTTGAAGTTGCTATAATAGGTATTGAACTATCAACGACATGCCAACAAGGTAGAAAATCCAGAGCCCAGGGTCCAGAATTCGTTAATTTCTTTTTAAATTAGAAACTACGACTAATTTTTATCAAGATTTCATAGCGTTTCACGTTATGAATCTTTGAGTTTTGGCACTAGCGGTTCTGATAATCGAGTCTTAAAGCGCTTCAATTGCTTTTTTCCATCGCATCTAATTTGTATGTTACACAGTTGACATAAAGTTCATTATGTTATTTATTCAAGTCAAGTCAAACAATCATTTATTCCATAGGTAAAATAAATTTACACTTGAAAACGTCACATTTAAGCTACTGCTCGTTCACTACGCCGAGTTCCCTGATAAGAACAAGCAAAAAACTATAGTGATTGCTCTTTTCAAATAAACTTAAATGCTATGGAATACACTTTCAATCAAATTTGTGTGGAATAGGGCCACGTCGTCTTTCCATACATCTTCATCTAACACAGAGTCTTCAATTTTGTAATATGACTTTTCAATCAAAATATTTTTAATGTAGTTTTGAAACTTAGGAAATGATAATATTAAATATATGCCCCGGAATCTTATTGCAAAAACGTATACAGTTCCCATAAAAGAGTCGTTTACCTTGGTTAAACGAAATCGTTGTACCATGAGTTTAGACTCAGCTCTAAGGTTAATATTATGGATATCTTCTTTCTTATTGAAATTATGTATATTTTTAAGGGCATATAAAATATATGAGTGAATGTACTGTGATGCCACAGTCATGATACCAGTCTCCTTAAAATTTTCTCCGAGAGAAACCCGAGTGCTTCGACGGTACACCGAACGAATCGCTCGTTTTTGCAATACAAATATGGTTTGAATATCTGCCGCTTTGCCCCACATGAGAATCCCGTAGGACATTATACTATGGAAGTAACTAAAGTAAACTAGTCTATTACATTATGAACAATTATTTCTTTACAAACATTGGCTTCCATGCCGATCTGTGGCAATGTAAATTAAGCCCCCTATTTATATCTATAGGCCTCAGACTTGAACTAAAAGAAAAGTTTCTCTTTCCTACCAAAAAGAAAACCTGCTCAGGTACCTGACAAATAAAAGTACTGAACAGAATATTGACATTGACATTATGCTTTATTTTGATTCAAATTGTTTTGGATGTCATTGTTAAATTTTCAGGAAATGATTGAGAATGGAGAAATTCCAAAATACAGAATCTTTACGCATGAGCCAGCCAGAAAGCGCCAGAGGCGACGAGCTAAGGAGAATCACGAGGCCAAGGAAGCTGAAGAATGGCGAAAAGAATTGGGCCTCAACAATGGTATGTAACTACTTATAATGTTACCAAGAGAACTCATTAAGTAGTTGGTTATAATAATAATAAAATACCAGAGAAACACACCAATTACTTGAAGCAACAAAAAGAGCACAGACCACTGTGAACCATTTTAGAAATGTTGGTTACTCAAATTGGTACTAACTGCAACCGAGCCCTCATCATCAAGCATCCGTCTAATAAGCGCTGGGCAACGAAATCATTGTTTCTTTCGAATGCGCATAAAAAAGAATTAACTGGAACAGCAATAACTTTTATATGTATGTTTTTTTACTTTGTAGTTTCGTTTTTGTGACCAAAATTTTATGCTCTTTGTTACAGAACCTGGAAGCCTAGAACTCATGATTCAGAAACAACAAAAGACAAGACAAGACCAGATGAACTCCTACTTGGATGAACTGGCTGCAAAGTACACAACTAAGAAACCAAGAACCACAAAAAGGAAAGCACCTCCAGGTGGGCCAGCAGCTAAAACCAGCAAAAAATGAAAGTACAAAAATTTATTTCATTTATTTTTGCATTAAAAACACTGTTATGAATTGTATAACAATAAATTGTCGTAACAAAGATCTCTTTTGAATTTAAAACTGGGTGCAGCAATCTTGATCATACTGAATTACATCTTCATGTTCGCCATCATAACAACTTAGCGGTTAGAACGCCTGAAGGGATAGTTTCGCATATTCTCGTAATTCAATATGTCCCATAATTGCCTGGACTTTAACATCAGGAACGATTTAATCACCTTCTTCCATAGCAACTTGCAACGCATCTTCTGAATAGAATGGCCCTTGCTCAACATACGTTTGAAGCCTCATTAAAATGTTGCTATCGAAGGCTGGTGAATGAGATAGCCTTCTGATGATGTCGTATTTCGCTTCTTTCGCCTCCTTTGTTTGATCCATACCTCTGTCTAGGAGGAATTCCACGAAACCTGCAAAAGAGGGACACTTTTGTAATTATACAAATTGGTAAGATAGACTTTACCATTTAGTATTTTATGTCACAGCTGTTAAACCTTTTTGTGAAAATGTCATCACAAATTATGTACAATGTGTGTGTTAAAATATTTAAGATTTGTAGTGATTGTTCTTTCTAGTTAACGTAAGTTATCAATAAACTAATTGCAAGAGTTATAAAATGTATTATTACCAGCAGTCCTAGCAACCAGCTCTTCACCCCACTGATGTTGACATACAGAGTCAAGCAGACTAAACGCAGCAAATTTGATGTCTGGGAAAGGATATTTGCACATTTCAAACAGTGTTTCCATTGGCCCGGGGTTTGTGGACAGAGTTCTAAACCATTCTCTTGTCATCAAAGTGACTCTGTGGTCGATAGGGCCACTCTTCGGAGCACTGGGGTCTTGGCTGTACCCAATAAGACTGGCATAACATTGTAAAGCACGAACTTTCATGTCTGACGGACTATTTCTTACAATTTGACCAACTTTTTGTATAGCCTGCGTGTATTTGCTTCCTGGAAATAAACTTGGGATCAATGAATATTACGTCTACCTATATCATGATTTTTTAAATCACCAAACTACACATATTGGCTAGTCTGATTAAAAATAGTGTCCTATACAATCAACGCAAACATTATAATATTATGTGATTTATAAATGTTTGTTAATATAATTTTTTTTTTAAAAACATTTTTAAGAATGGCAGTCTTCTTTTTTCCTTCTACCAATTTCTTTTCGATTTTCAATTCAGTATACATAACAAATTGCGCATGTGACCAACAGAATACGTGAAGAACAGCATATAAATGATCTGTCTGAATGATCTGCGTGCAGGATATGATATAGAGTATGTAAAATCTCCACAGTGATAATTTATACACTCACCTAGTGATGCAAGGCACAATTTTCCTTCAATAGTGTTCCCAATAAAGCCTAAAGTGTCCAATGCAACAGGCAGCGTGCCAGGGTCACCGGAATCTATTGTGTCAAATAGGCATTCTACTAGAATAGGATATTTGTCTAATATCTCTCTAGGATAGCTATGAGCCACTGCTCCAAAGAATTTCAAGTAACCTGAAAGTAGGAAATAAAAAATTTGGTTAGCGCTAGTACCTTGAAGTGGGTCTTGAGTGGACATCTTCTAAACCGTCAAACACACAGAGTACGGGTGCGGTACGATAACAAACGAGCGGGCGCAGAACCAGACCTGAGCCAACACACGCCCGACCCGCACTCGCTGTCAGTGTGTGTCACGCTTAAGAGAAACTTCAGATGTTTATATCAGAACCGCGCTTCATTATCATCATTATTTCCACTACATGACTGTAGTTTGTGCGTCTGGAGGTGGAAGCCCTGTTCCTGGCATTGACATTTGGCATTTTGAGAATCTCGCATTCTGCGAATCGGGCATTCTGCCTGTTTAGCGTTTTGCGTTTCTGGCATAAAGCGTCAAAACGCTACTGTGTATATAGATGACTCGAAATGTCACATTACTCATTTATTCCCTATGCGTACAAGCGACATACGAAATTTTTAGGTTTGTTTAGTCTGATTACGAATCGGTTAAAACAGTTTACGAATAGAGTTTGAAGACTGCAAATGTAAAATTACTTAACATATGAAATGAAGCTATTTTGAATGTATAATACAATTATTGTAATAAAATTTCTACTCCACCTTACCTGGAACCAAAAGACTGCCCAGTAGATTACGATGCAAAGCCTCAACCAAAACTGCAATCTTTTGCAACACCCCGCGCTGCACCAAGTAACTAATCCCATGTGCTTTCACAGCCAACTGAGATAGTAACTCTAATATGTTCAACTGGTACAAAACATCGTTTGTGTTTAACTCCGAAACCATAAAATCTATGTATTCTTGGTCAGCACATAGTCTGAACAGTTCCGGTGCTCTTATTGAAATGTTTATTGCCACCTGGAACAGATAGATTGTAACGACAACTTGCAAAGCATTGTGAACATGATATTGCAGTCATTTTTCACCAGTATGAACTATGGCTGAATATTAGCAAAGGCAATATATTTTTACGGTCAACTGTAGATTAGATCTATTAAATATTTTTCTTTTTAACTTAATTTGTATGTTGTTTTCTTTTTATTGCAATGCATGTAGAATGAAGTTATTAAGATTTTCTTCTGTAAATGAATTTTCAAAGACGGTCTAGCAGTTTTTGAGTATTGTACAGAAAATTGTATCTATGTGCCCCAGTACAAATATATTCTATAACTTTGTACAGTCAACAGCACATCAAAGTGTACAGTTTTGTTCGAGTTACAAGTGAAATTCGGGTTACAAGTGAAGTAATTTTAATTTTGATCTCAGAGCTGTAGATCAGTAGACATGCCGAAGTCATTAAAGATCGTGACAAAAATAAAAATTATCATGTGCATCTCTAGTATTTTATTTTATTTTCATCTTCAATCAATTGCATAGAATTTCATGTTAACAGAGCGCCATGCATGCAGATCGATACCTCCAATGAACACTACGCGAAATTTATTTTTGGACCTGTTCTGTTTTTCTTGTTTTTTGTTTTTTTTTTTTGGCACAAATTCTTTTTGTTTTTTTCCAATTTTGTTTTTTGTTCTTTATTTTTTGTTACAAAATTCGAGAACCATAATATTAGTAAATAAATATGGCTGTTTACAAAAATAACAGAAAATGACCAAAAGATAGTGTTTTGGAGGTATGAAGATAATTTTATTGTATATTTATTTTAATAAAAAAAATGTCTTTTGTCATAATTTTATACAAAAATGCTAAAATGAAATTGCATATTGATTCCTACTTTACGTCCATAAAGTTGGTAGGTCAATGGTCCCTAAGCTGTGAAAATTTGTGTGATAAAGGACAAAGAATTCACCTCAAAAGCATTACATTTAACACTGCTACTACCGTCAAAAGCAATTTTCATCTCCTCTAGCACCCTGGGATAAGCCTCTGGAGGCAACATAGACGTAATTTGAATAGCAGTATTGGCGACTCCAAGATCTTCATCAGTGACCATCTGTCCTGTGGCCACAAAAACGTCCTGATATTCTGCTACAGGTAGTGTGTTTATATCTGTGCTTAGTGCTTTGTATACCTAGAAAAGGGCCAAAAAATTTTTTTTACAACTTCATAATAAAACTATAACTTCATTTTCATGTTTGTACATGATCAGAAACAGTTGCACTTGTTGTACTTCCACCTCTTCTTGCCTTCCTATCTGCTTTTTTCACTTTCTCGCATGCCATTCCATTAAAAATAACAATGAAGACAGTGAAGAAAGCCTATTTTCTATGTAATAATACTGTTTTGTTAATTAAACATGTTACTTGCATCTTTCTATGAAGGCATAGGTGTATATTAACAACATAATGTGTTCTATTTCATAATTTGTAAATAATTAAACTCCACAGAAATCAATAACATTATTCCACTGTTAAAATTTGATTAAAACATGAAATAACATAATTAACTAATTAAAAATAAAATAGGCAAACTAAAGAATAATGAAATATGGAAAACTACATCAACAAACATTTTATACAAAAATCTAAAATTGAAATGCCATTGGACAGGACATATTTCACAATACAGTAACAAGAGCATGGAGGGATCCAATAGGAAAAGCATAGAGTTTAAAAGTAAAAAAAAAGAAGTGTACCGATGATATAGCCAAAGGAGCTGGAAAATACTGGTTGCATGTTCCCAAGTATATATAGACGTCAATGGAAGAGGAAAAGGTCTACACCTGACAAGAATCCACTGCAAATATCACAAACTAAGTACCTAGGCAGATATGGGCAAGCGCTTGGGTTTTAACCCGGCGTTTTGTTAACCCGGGTTCAAATCGGGTTAAAACCCATTAATGCCTAAAATCGCGGGTAAAAATCGATTTACAAGTAAATATTTGTTGTAAATCGAATGGTGTTCAAATTTAACGATATTATTACAAAATGTTTATTGCTTTTTATCTGGCAATTGGATTTGCCTTTCTATGAAAGGGTTTTAACCCACTGCCCATCTTTGTACCTAGGTAATAGAATTATTATTGTAAAGAAACTATATACGCTTTATTATTCTATTTATATTTTTACCTCATCTATGGCAAGTTTTCGCACACAACTTTTTTCATGCCTCAGCAAGTACATAATATGGCCTGTGTAGGTTTTGATCACATCTCCAGGGTTAAACTTCTCAAAACAAATGCGAAGTACTTCACAAGTCAAATCCACATGAGTCCTGCAAACGAACAATTAAAACTTTCACAATCTTGTTTTCTCAAGTGTCATTGTATTTCTCAATAGCAAAACCTGAACAGTTACTGTATAAATAAACCAATGTTAATTGTCGTAGTGATTTAAAAATTATATGCCAATGTCTATAAAATATTATGAAGTGCACATCTACTATTACTAATGCATATTTTTATATTCATGAATAATTTGATATTTACTTTATTGTCAAAAGGTTCAAATGTGTACCTGTATAAATGTATGTAACCTATATTATAAAACACCTACTTAACAAGAAAAATAAAAAGAGTAAAATTTTCAATGACTCTCTACCTGATGGTAGGTATATTATTTTGTGTGTAATTTTTTGTTTTCCCTAGAAAAAAACCTTTAAGTTACAATAAAATAGATTTTTTTGTGTGTAAACAATAGTTAGAAGGTTTATAATAAGATAATAGGACATAATACTATAAATAAATAATTTATTTTAAATTTATTTTATTAAAGTGTAGGGTCTTGGTCATATAGGTGATTGTGTAAGGCTGCTACTAAACGAAACGCATGCGTGAAGTCCGTACAATAAGCTCCATGCGGATGAAACTGACTGCAAGCAGCATTGACTTACAATTATATGGACGTCGGGTCCGCGCTAAAAAGTGTCCGAACTTATAGGGCGTTAAAATCGTATACAGAGCGTCATTCACGCTTTAGTCTTCGTTTGTTCGACTGACAGCGCAGCAAGCAAAATTAGACAGTACTGCGATGACATAACAATTTAAATTCAACGTTTTAGCTTTTTCATATTCCTTTACATGTCACTACGTTTAAATAGGTTGACGTGGGACATTTTTTTTCGTGGTTTTTGTATTAGACCCGTCGTGCATTTATTTGTAAGTCAATGGTTAAAGTATTTAAATATTCTAAAACTGGATTATGGCATTCATGATATCTCAAAAAATTATTTTGTCGCTTTTTTTTAGCGGATATATACGCTATTCTAGCGTTAAACACAAAACCTTTCATTCATTTACTGTAAATTTTACAAACGTAAGTTCAGTGAGTGTTTCACCGTAGATGGGAGATAATCAAGTGCTTAAAAAGTACACAGATTGAAGAACAATAGGCCTTCATAATTAACTACCACCATCAGTTTAATGTGAAAAAAATTGCTTGTACCCATAAGTATCTATTAAAGATACATTGAGAGTTATAATAGTCTAGTGCTAGTACAATAATAATTGCTTTTTAACCGATAAGTACCTATGGCAGTAGGTATACCTAGGTCTTCAATTATTAACCCATCACATGTCCTAGAAACACTTGGTGTCCTCAACATGCAGCTGAGTTTTCATCCACCATTATTGAAAACATTACAAAAATGTATAAGAATTTTTAAAGGTTCATGTATGTACATTTGCGAATGTTCAGTAACAATATCCCTCACTCAAAGGTGAAGGAACTCTAAGAATGTATGTAAAGTAGTCAACCAGCATTGAGCCAGCAAGCCAGGTGAAGGAGACCCATGATAACATTGGAATGATGGATCGGATAAGTTGACTTTAGCTAGACTAGCAACTAAATGTGTTAACATCTGAAAGACATAGTAAATTAAACTACTTTTACAGATTTAAATCGCGTATATTTGTTTTTCCAAACAAACCAATGTTTCGGGCCCTTTATAGGTCCCATGGTCACAGTTGACTGTTTGTTTGAAAAAACAAATATTTATAGATTTAAATCCGTGAAAATAGTTTCATTTACAATTTGTAACAATCGTGAAAACCTAAGAACTCGATATCTAAAACATATATAAAGTAACATTATGTGTAGTGCAATAAAAGCTATGGTTGGACTGCACGAAAGGAACTGGACTTTGATCAATTTTTTTATGGCCTTAGTAAATTAAAATTTTTCAGCTTTATTATCTGGAAAACTATTGCCTACATAGAAAAATTAATAAGAACAAAAAGTGTTTATTTATATCTAATCTATCCGAAACAAACACTAAAAACAATTTTAAAAAATAATTAGAAAGTCTAGTTTCCATAGTGCCCCTTTCCTACCGTCTGACCATCCATAGTGCCCCTTTCCTACCGTCTAACCCGAACTACTTTCGAAAAACTTTTGAAAGTATAATTAGTAAAAATGTTACGTACTTCTCCGGAACATTCAGACATCGCACAATCTTCGTTATTCCAACGTTTTGTATAGTGCCGATAGCCTCACGGGCAGGTTTAAACGTGAGTAAATTCTTAATATCATTTAAAGCACTGTGCCGGAATTCCTCTCGTTGAAGATTGTTGATAAATATACGATATTGTTCAGTATCCGAGTTTATCATGATGAAACAAAAATTAAGCGGTTTAAACAGGGACCAATTATTTATTCTTTTAGTACTTTTTTTTAGGTTTTTATATTAAATTTGAAAAACAAACAAGTTCTTTTTCTAAAACTTTGACATTATGGACTGACTGACGGTGACGGCTTTGATTTGACAAGCAAAAGACAACATGACAGTGCAATAATTCTACTTTGACGTCGTTGCGCTTTTTTGTTATCTTAACAGAAGTGAAACAGGTATAAATATAAAAGTTCGGTTTTTTAATTATCTGTAATACCCTGCGTAGTACTGTGTCATAAAAAAACTTCAATTTTGAAAAAATCATATTTTTTCTATATTTCTCTTAGAGGATGGAAAAAAAATATTTCTCCACATTTGACAGTCAAGAGTTGAAGATACTTTTTTTTTATCCTAATAATACTAAGGGTCGTATTCCAAAACTCTACTCAATGCTCAAGTCAGAACTAAGTATGATTTCAAGCACTGGAAATACGAACCTAATGGCAAGGACTTGAGTATGATTTCTAGTGTTTTAAATCATACACAAGTTCGGAATTGAGCATAGAGTAGAGTTCTGGAATAAGACCCTTAGGGTCGTATTCCAGAACTCTACTCAATGCTCAACTCAGGACTTGAGCAGACTTGAGTATGATTTCAAGCACTGGAAATACGACCCTAATGGCAAAGACTTGAGTATGATTTCTAGTGCTAAAGTTTTAAAAATCATACTCAAATCCTGACTTGAGCATTGAGTAGAGTTCTGGAATACGACCCTGAATGTAAAACAATGGAGTAAATTATTTTCCTATTTCTAGTTTTAGCTACTTACAAAGTGTTTTGACTAACTTGTTTTTAAAACGGGTAAACTTTTAATTTTATTTCTTTTTCGCTGTTGTCCAATAATTTTAAATCTCTTTTTCTCTATACAATTTTATTTTTCAATTATTTCCACAGAAATGTTCGCCGAGAGGAATTTCGCTGAGATCTTTTTGATCCTCATTGATGCTTCGGTATCCAAACCATCTTCACCCGCACTGCTATCGTTACCAACGGATATTGATATGTTCTGATAAAATATATATTCAATAACCCTTCCGGATTACGTCCTTCTCGCCATTATCTAAAATAAATTAAATATAATTTTAGCTTGCGTTTCGTGTAGAAAACTGTACCCTTATTGAAAGGTGGTTACCGCTGCTAACCACTTTGTTTATCAATGAATAGCAAAATAACGACCACAACTTTTATCTAAATTTTAACGTAGTTTATACGGACAATCATATGTAATATAAATTTTCATAAACTTTATATATAAGCATAAATAATTACTCACCAATAAAAAAAACTTCCGCAAATTCGCGTACTCGAAAATTCCCGATCTCCACTGGCAAAATTAGTTACCTAAATGGCCACGCCACGGCTATTAAACACCATATGGGTGGTGTTGTCAATTCAGTCGTATTTAAAGAATTAAAACACAAAACGAATAGGTGTCACTTTAGACGAAATACCCGTTTCTGAGTTTTCGGGATCATCAGTATTGTTGGATTGAAACCATGGAAGAATGTAATTTAGTAGAGAACTAATGTTTTTATTAAGCATTAAACAATACATTAATTTAAAACTGTTAACTATACGACTTTTTCGCTCGCCAGTCCAAGAATTCGTCGATGTCAGCTTCGCCTCCAGATTCATTATCTTCATCAATACTCATTTGTTCGACTTCTTGCGTTTTCTTTTTCGTTTCTTCTTTCTTCAGTTCTAATTCTAAAACTCTATAACAAACAAAGAAAAGTTCCATAACCAGAATATTAAATTTCCGATACGTAAAACAAGCCAATTTCCTTGTAATAGACATGCAGGATTGAGTCTGATCCATACCTTGACCAGTTCCTAATTTGTTCATCTATTTCATCTATTTGCCGCTCTGCTGTTGCTTCTTCTTGTTCGCCTGCAATGATCTCGGCTGAAGCACTTGCTTCTTCTTTAATTTCTTTTTGAAATTTGTCCCATTCTTCTTCGACTGGATCTTTATACTCGATGTTGCGAGCCTGTCAAAATTACATACTGAATTAGTTAAATATTTTCGAATTAACCTTAATTTAATATTAAACATACTCATTTATTTTATTTTAGCAAAGGTACACAACTTCTAATATAACACAATTTTAATTAACAGCAGTAAACAGTTTCCTACCCTTATCGATGTATAGCGTTCCTAACATTTTTTTCATGCTGGCGTAAAATTGATGGTTTAAAGTTTTAATAACGTCATTGTCGACTTTAATAAAGTTTATTGCATCTGATTCTTTCGTAATCAATAAAAAAGGGCAAGATTTAAATTAACTTAGACTGACAAGTTATGATAGTTTATAATTTTACTCATAATGCCAATTTCAATTAGTAGTCTAAAATAAAGGGCATCGACTCCTACACATTTAGGTCCTTACAACTTGACAGGTTCTCAACAATAACTTAATTAAAGAACAATGTCAAGTATGAGGCTTCATAAGCATCATGCGTCTTTTAACTTGGTTGAGTATTACGTATTTGACAGTAATTGTTTCGGATCAATGTCAGATTGTCAGACGGAGAACGAGAGTAAAGGGCCTAATAAGAAAGACCGTTCTCATAATAAAAAAAGTCAGATGCAATGAACTTAAAAGTCTAGATTGCATTTGCCTGAATAAACTCAAACGATATATTACTAAAAATACAACAAAACCATTAAACATAATGTTAATATGATATAAAAAATAATGCTCATCTGTCAGAAATTATAATTTTACACGTATGCTCGTATGACTTTACTACAAAGTAACACCGTCGCTTCGTCGCCAACCCTATGAGGTATCCATCGGATCACGCTACACGTAAAAGGTTTCATCTTCATCGATCGTATGCAGAGGGCCTCTCATCTTGTTCGTTTTTTATCAAATTCGAGCGTAGCGTCTCTGCTTAGAAGATGGAAAAAATAAAGGAAGCGTCTTTGGCATTTCTAAACGAAACTACCTCTGTCAAAAATTGTCGGCAATTTGACTTTGGTATCAAAAACTTCTTATCACTAATGTTATCGACATTAACAAAAACATTGGTTTTTTACCATTGTTTTACAAATTTGAGGTCTACAATTGTGCTAGCCAGGACTAAAATGGACGCAGCGAGTATGATCAGAACTGTGAAGGCATGTATTCCGCCGTTGGACGGTAGTAGTCACAAAGGTCAAGCTGGTCGAATCGGAGTTGTAGGGGGGTCGTTGGAGTACACTGGAGCCCCTTATTTTGCGGGAATAAGTGCGCTAAGAGTGAGTAGCTTTTATTCATAAACGTTGTTAAGGGCTAGGAATCGAAGTGCACAATTTAATAGTGGTTATTGTTCAGATTTCCCAATAAAATAATTCACCAATTATATCAGAGGCGAAAGATGACTTTTCGGAATACGTTAACAGTTGTAGGTACACTGCAAATGCTGCAATGGAAACCAGTTTTCTGTAAATATCCACTACTAACTTTGAGAATGAATAATTAATAAATATTATCGCATTTTCTGCATTTATTTATTCTTTAAAACATTTGTCCATCTTGGAAATGGGGTATGGGGTAGTAACTTCCAAAAATCTGACATGGAAGAAAAGTCAGGTGTAAAAATAGTGTACATGGAACTAATGGGCATAAATATGACATTTTAAGGTTACAATTGTTCCATGTGGAACTGAGTACAATGGAACTGGGAATAAATGATTACATTTACATTTTGGCTATGTAAAATCAAAACTGAATGTATATGTAGTGTGTGGTATTAAAGCAACCGCAGATCAGGTTTCCTTTTTAAGTGCTCTGTTCAAAATTAGAGAACTTGTAAATGATAAATGGGTACTTTTCTTATCACTTATATCACTCTTCTTCCTATTGATAACCATGACCGCTATACATGAACTAAACCAAGACTAGGTTACTATAAGCATATGCACTAAATATAAATATTAAAGTACCTAGTGTTAAGAATAACCAGATCTTACAACACACACATTAGTCTTGAGGCAATGATAACGTACCTAAAGTAGACTATGGTTTCAAACATATGTATTTATGTCTTGATTGTGTTGTAACTATTGAATTTGAAGAACATGTAAACCTAAGAATTATAAACCTTCTACAACATTAGGAAATCACTAGTATCACCAGTTTTTAACTAATTGCTCTTGCTTCTGAAATATTGTCCAAGTTTATTTTTACCTTTACTTAGAGTAAAGGTACTTATTCCTGAATCACCTTTAAAATGTTCTTTCGCAGATACCAAATACCAAAATGCCATGCTAAAATTGATTCTTTCTTGAAAGTAATCTTAAAATAATTTTAAAATGAAAATATTTCAGGTGGGAGCAGACTTGGTGCACATATTCTGCACAAATCCAGCATCAACAGTGATCAAGTCTTACAGCCCAGAGTTGATAGTGCACCCTATTTTGGACAGACCAAATGCAGTCTCAGAAATATCGCCCTGGCTGGATAGACTTCATGCTGTAGTCATTGGCCCAGGACTAGGCAGAGAAGCAAAAACATTTGAAGTTGTCACGGAATTACTTAAAACAATACAAACTAAAAATATACCCCTAGTTATTGATGCTGATGGTTTATTCTTGATTACTGAAAAGCCAGATTTGCTAAAGGAGTTTACATCTCCAGTTATTCTTACACCAAACAAGATAGAATTTGAAAGACTTTGTAACAAATTCAATGGAGTGTCTGGACTGAGTCGGTTGGGAGCAAAAGTAACTGTTTTTAAAAAAGGACAGGAAGATGAAGTTTTCAGCCCAATTGCAGAAGCACAATGGAAGTCAAGTACAGGAGGTTCTGGCCGTAGATGTGGTGGTCAGGGCGACCTGCTATCTGGTGCAATTGCAACCTTCCTACACTGGACATTAGCTAGTTTGAACAACATTGACACAGATTCAGATAAAAGTATGATGGCTGCATCTTTATCTTGCTATGCAGCTTCCAAACTAATACGGTCATGTAATGAGAATGGCTTTAAAGTAAAAGGACGAAGTATGTTGGCACATGATATGATTGAATATATACATGTTTCTTTCGAAGATTTATTTGGACAGTGATAATTTTCACACTGTCAATAATGTAATCATACCTATTTACATTGAGTATATAACCTGAAATAGAGACGAAATAAGGGCCATATATTTCTGGTAACACCTTAGCAATACAGCTCTTATAAATATCAACTCCCATTTGCACTGAAATATATATATTTAATTGCCTCGTGGCCGATCGGTTACCAAGCCGGACTGCCACACAGAGGTCCCAGGTTCGATTCCCGGGCCGGGAGAAATAGCTGTTCTATTCGGTGGTGTGGGAAAAACAGCAAAACATAATTATAAAACAAGCAGAATCACATTTCATCGGTAATTAAATATGTAATTTTGCAATTTTCGTCCATTATAGCAAAGCTCAAGTTAACTGGTTGATTTGAAGTGAAACAATTGATGACACCCATTAACGACACCCATCAATTGTTTCGAACTCTGGCTAGCCAATCGGAGCGCAGTTGTCACAGTAATGATATGGCAGAATAGTTTTTAAACAAACGAAATAACATTTTGTCTCTATTTCTGGTTATAACTATACTCGATGCCTATTTATTATTTGGCATTTAAGGGTAATGTTTTTATAAGTTTTAATAAATGTTTTTACTGATGTTCATAATTTACTGGAATAACAAGTAAATAAAGTCAGACATAAGAAAGAAATAATAAAGTTATGAATTGCTCATTATAATATGTTAGTTATTTCTGTGGTTTGGTACAAAGTGTACATACAACAAACAACATTAGTAACCTAATGTTTTTAATAAAAATAGCATCGGGCGCAATTGACTGTCCAGACTTATTATCAGAAATATCATTGAGAGTTCCATCTAAATCTTTAAGAAACAATTAACTTTTGTTTCTACCACCGCACCCGCTCGTACTAATTATAGGCAAAATGAGTTTATGTGGCGTGCAAGTAACAATTTTAACATTATGTGTAATTTATTCGATCTGGATCTTATCTTTTAAAACGAGTGCGATTTCGGCAAGGAGAGCATTGAGTGGGCAATTCTTTAACTTAAAGTGAGTTACAACTGCAATTGTCTTTTTTATATTTTATAAATAAGTTATGTTCTGTTTTATACCTTAAATAGTGTATCCAAGTGTTTTTATTATATTTCTATTTGTGAGGATCTATAATTGGCTCTCAGTCGTTACTATTTTCATTTAAGTTAGTTTTAAGCTGTTGATCTTCCTGTTAGATAAATAAAAAAAAATAAGTAATACGGACTTGGCATACTAGTACCAAGTCACAAAATTATAGGTATGTGCAAAAATGAAAATATATATGAATGTAAAACTGTTACCTTAGCATCTAATATGGGATCATCAAAGAAACCTTCTGGGATTGGTTGGTCAGGAGCTACAGGCGTTTTGTCTGATTGTTTTTCTTTTGACGTTGATGGACCTGCTGATTCAAAAATATTAATGTATTATGATTACCACCAGTTACTGGTTCCTTACTAAGGTATGCCATTTTTCTTTTGTCAAGTGGTGAAATAACCATAACTTTTTTAATCAATTCACTTAAAATTCACATTGAAACGTATTAATACACAAAACCTGTAGATCGTATTCAATCGAATCGATCTACATAAAATTTTTATCATAATGTGCATTCCTAGTCTGTAGGTCATCCATAGTTGAAAAAAGCTATAACTATGGATTTTGTGCTTCGACAGTAGGGCTCCGGGGTACTGGTGCAATTGTTAGGAATAATATTAGAGGCATAGTGAGAAGACCATCAAACCTCGAAAGCTGTAATGGGTTTATCTACATACCTTTTTTACCTGCCCTGCCACTAACTGTAGGCGCAAGTGGAGCTCGTTTTACTTCCTCATTGTGGTACGATACAATACTAGGTGCATCATTCTTAGGTTTCTGTGGTAAAACTGACTGCGCTTCACTCGCATTCTTCAAAATACTCTTAATTTTCTTCTGCGGAGGCGCCTCAATAGGTGGACTCAAACGTTTCTGTTTACTTACTTTAGTAAAGTTATTTGTGAGTTCCTTTAGTTTTTTCGCTTGTTCCACATTTTCTTTATGTTGTTTACTGTTCAAATGGACTGGCCAAGCCTTCTCTGACCTCACCACAGACGAGCAAAGTATGCACATTAGTTGTCCTGCATTGTACTTTGCTAAAGGGTTGTCTATCTTTGTAGGTTGACTGTCTTTTTTCTTTCGCTCGGCCATAAGCCGGCGCATTTCTTCCTGCGCTCTTTTCTTCTCAACTTGCATTCGAAGCGACATTATAAAATATTTTGTAAAAAACCCCTCAACAACAAACACAATGTCGTACTTCATTTAATGTCACAGACTATTTATTGTCATGGCAATGTCAAAGTTCTCGTTCGTAATCAACTAATCATTCACTCCGTTTTTTAATGGCTCGTACTACTGTACTTGAGTTTAAATGGAGCTTTCTATTAAACAGAGAGGCGTATGGATGTATACCTTAGACTATGTTTTTTCTATCCTCTAAGATGTATACATACATACA